AGCTCGGGGAAGCGGCCCAGACGGTGGCCAATACCGGATTGACGGCCAGGAAGATTTTGCTGTGTGTTTGGTGGGATTGGCAAGGAATCATCTACTACGAGCTGCTACCGTATGACCAAACAGTCGATTCGGCCCTCTACTACCAACAAATGGATCACTAGAAGGCAGCAGGCTCATCCAGAAGAGGCCATCTTTGATCAACAGAGACCGAATTGTGTTCCATTAGGACAACGCCAGGCAACACACGTCGTTGGTGACGTGCCAGAAGCTCTAGGAGCTCGGATGGGAGGTCCTCATACACCCACCTTATAGTCCGGACCTGGCACCAAGTGATTACCATATTTTCCTGTCCATAGCGAACGCACTTAATAGTAAGTAGTTGGCCTCAAGAGAGGACTGTGAAATTTGGCTCTCCGAGCTTTTTCGCCAATAGCGACGCAGCTTTCTACAAGGCGCATATTTGACTTAAATCACACAAAGTCAGCATATTTTGAAAAATTCATAAAAAAAACCGAATGAACTTTTTACTTGACCTAATTATATATTCGAAAACTAAAGGAGAGGTGAGAAAAAGTAGCCGCTTCCGACGGTCACTACTTTTAATGATGTACTTTTTACTTTTTTTTTTTAATAAAAAAAACTTTTTTCGTTAATTATTTCATAATAATATATAAATTATGTTAAAATGTATGAATACTTATGCAACATAACATGTTTCTAATACAAGTACCAAGTAAACGTAAAAAAAAATATTTTTTTTTGTAAGTAAATAATCCTTTCTTCCGCTTCCCGGAATGGAAAATTTCCACATAATAACCAAGGCAAAGAGCTATCAACGAATTAAGATTCAAAGCAAGATTTTGTTGACCAGATCGGTCCATGATTCACTTCCCTCTTTCTTCACTTAAAAAGTTTTCCAGGTATCTATGTTCCAAGCTTCAAGCAAATCAAACCAAAAATATAGTTTTTCGAACATATCAGGCCCGCTACTTACAAAGTAAAATGCTCCACATTACAATTTGTGCGCCGAGCGAGTCAAATAAAGAAATACGATATTTTTCGAACGGTCTCATATTCACTTCCTGCTCAGGTTAACAGGAAGCCTACTCTCTCGGAGAAATCGACCAGAGACCGAAATTTTCAAAAAAAAAAAAAAAAAAAAAAAAAAAAAAAAAAAATGTGTGTTTTTGTACATAAATACAAATGTGATCAAAAATCACTATACTCTCTCTTATCAAGTAAATATAAATATTTAATTAAAATCGATGAGTATCCACCATCTTGTCATAATGAAGGAAGGTATGATACTATCATTTTGTATACATTAAATTCTTGGAATAAAATTAGTATATTTGTGTAAATCAATTATTCATTGGATGCTATATTTGCTTTCAATATAATTGTCAAATGTACGAGTATGTACCGGCGCATTTACGTAAAACTTTTTCGTATTATTCAGTTCAACTCATTAATCATCAACAGTCGAAAAAATAACCACGCTTTAAACGTCATTCGCGTTATGTGATGTGAAATCTCAACGCATTATTCCCTTATACCAGTGTAAAGCTGCCGAGATACATACAGTCCACTTTTCGAACGTTCCTTTTGAAAAAATATATTTATTATTTAAAAGAATGAAAAGATCTAAAAATAACTAAAATTCACATATTCTGAATATTTAAGCTCAAGCATGTTGGGACATATTTGGCTCCATTATCCCAGCGTTCTTGCACGCATTGCTCCTTTTTGCTTATAGACACACAAATATTTATACCTTTCAAGTACGGAAATAATCTAATAACTTTGGTCCGAAGTATTTAAGTACAAAAAGGAGCAGAGATAGATGAATAAAAATTTAGATTCTACCGGTCTGAATGAGATGTTGAATAAATTTAGTCATGCCTGTCTATTAACCACTCTTGGTATAAATATGTATGTGCTTGTACATTCATACGATCATTTGTAGGCATCGACCAGATCAGACTACTATAGCCTATAAACGATCGATTTTTCTGATATGAGATTTTGGGTCATAAGTCAAAAAGGTATACATATATGAGCGTGAAATTTTTGTATTCTACGGACATATAATGAATTACACATTGGTACTGAAAATTATCGAAACCCATAGACTATAACTGATAAATAGATCCCATTGACAGATTTTTCTCAGATTTGAAGTTTCGGTCGAAAAATCGCCAAAAAAGCATCCACCGAAAATCATCGAAATCGGAATACTGTATCACATAGCCACCATATAACAGATTTGTTCCGATATGGGGTATTTTGAAAAAAAAAAAAATAAAAATAAAATAAAAAATACAATACAATAATAAAATATATAAATAAATGAAATAACGTAAACTAAATTATAAAGAAATGAAACAGGGGAAAAAATTAAAAAAGAATGAATTAAAAAAATTTAATAAATTAAAAAAAATTAAAAAAAAATTTACAAAAATTAAAAAAAAAAAATTAAAAAAATTAAAAAAAAAAAATCAATAAATTAAAATAAATATAATAATTATACGAGAGGAAATGTCGAATGTGCAATGCTCGATTATTTCCATTATTTTGTCGACATATTCCGGACCGAAATCGACGGAACCCAAATTGTGCATGATTGACCGTCACATTTCCAGCTGCTTGACTTGCGTTGTAGAATTTAGTGTGTTTTCTCTTTGAAATGCACTCAAAAACTACTGAGTTTTGTGATCAACACTTCTCTCAATGTCTTTTTTTTTTTAGTGCAAAACATCATCTTTCCAACGCCATCCAGCGCAATCCCATACAATCACATATATATAACGCGAGATACAGATAAAAAACTTAAAAATATCCAACAAAAAAAGCAAAGAAAAGAAAATGAAAATATAAACCAAAATAAAAAATAAAATAAAAATTAAAAATATAAAATATAAAATTAAAAAATAATAATGAAATATCAACGAAACCGGATAACTGCATCTTATAAAAAAATAAAATAAAAATAAAAAATAAAAAAAATAAATAGCGAAATAAAAAAAAAATAAGAAAAATAAATAGCGAAATACAAAAAAATTAAAAAAAATAAAAAATTTAAAAAAATAGAAAAAAAACTGAAAAGAACGAAAAAAATCTTCAAATAAAATAATAGAAATCAAATATCACCGAAACCCGAGATCGAGATCTATATCTTATAAATGAAAAAAATTAAAAATAATAAAAATAAATAAAAAATAAAAACTTAAAAATAAATTAATAATAATAATAAAAAAAAAAAAAATTAAATTAAACGAAAAAAATATTGAAATAAAATAATAATAAAATATCAACGAAACCGGAGAACTATATGTTATAAATAAAAACAAAATATAAAAAATAAAATAAATAAATAAAAATAAAAAAAATAAAATAAATAAATAAAAATAAAAAAAATTAAATAAATAAAAATTAAAAAAAATAAATAAAAATAAAATAAAAAAATAAAATATAAAAATATAATAATAATAATAAAATATCAACTAAACCGAAAAACTATATCTTATAACCCCCATACAGCCGATTTGCTTAGATATGGTCGTGAAAGGTATAAAAACTTAGGCAGGGCCGAGCACAGCTTTTTTCACATTTTTTTTAATTTTCTCATAAAATTGTTTGTGTCAACATTTTTTCATCACTCCATGTGATCGTGATCTTATTTTTTTTTGTTTGTATTTATTTAATGGCGGTATAAATTATGAAAAATGCTGAGATATTTTTTTATTAGTCATCTATGCTGAATATTTAGTGTTTCCCCATTTTCTTCAGTATACATATTTTTTGTATCTTGTTTGTTGTTTTTTTTTTATATATTTTATTGTTGTTTATTTTTTGGTCCAACTAATTTTATAACTAATACTCGTGCCTCTTTTAATTTATGTTTGTTTCCAAATATTTTTTAGTTTTTTTTTCACGGCACCTACATTAAATTTTTTTAGTCTTTCTGAACACAAATTTTTTTCTCATTCTCCTCTGTTTGTACATCACTTTTCTTACAAATGCTTTTCTTTTGCCTTTTGGCATTGGTGATTCTGTTTTTTTTTTTTTGTTTTCATTAATAAAATAATGGCGGTTTGTTGTACACACTTTGCGGCCATTTTTTTTGGCTTTAATCCAAATACTTATTTAAAAGAAAATTTTTCAGTAATAAACAACAAATGTAAGCTAATAATTTTGATGCTTTAGCAATTAAAAAAAGTTGACAAAATTCTTTCTCATATACTTTTGTGTACATACATACATATATATAGGTCAATAGCAAGTGTGCTAACCAGCGCAAGATCATATAAAGGTCAATTTATTTCTTTTTTTCTTTTCTGAGTGAAATATATTCATTTGTATTTCGTATTAAATTTTATAGTTCTATACTTATTCAACACTCAACTACTACTTCCTGAAATTTTCGCGCTTTAGCTCGTTTCCCATTAAATTAAGTTTGGTAAAGTAATAAAAATTAAAAAAGAGTGAGAACTGAGAGCTGAGAATTTTTTCATTGAACAAATCAAGTGGTTTCAACATCTAGAAAATTGAGCGGAGTCTCTCCTGTAAACCACCTCCCGTAAGTGGCACAACAGGCCAACAGACCTCGATCAAGGACCGCGTGTTTAAGCAATCTAACAATCTAACTAAGAAGTTCGAGCTGTTTATTTTTTATATTGTCTATAAAAATTAGTTACTTTCTGGGTAATGTAATAGTATTTTTTCGTACATAATTTTGCTCCCAATTAAAAAAGGTCTAATTTCCTAAACGAGCTATAAATTGTTTTGATTTAAGCATTATTTACGTTTAATAATCTCAAAGATTGAAGGGGTTATTAATTAGTTTTTTGTTGGGTTATAATTTCCTGTAATCGAAATAATTATCAAATTATTTTTGAAAAATACTTCTAACCTCAATATATCCATTTTATGCTGTTCTGTTTTGTTTGGTCTATGCTTTTGCTTAAATAATTTGTGTTCTCTCATTGTTCTAATTTCAGAGGAGGAAGCGTATCATTGCTTGGCGGCGTTGGTCGGCAGCAAAGAGAAAGTATTTATAAAACAAACCAAATTACAACATGAAGTCACTTGGAAAACTGTGATGCAAATTGCCAAAAAACATAGCGTAAGTTCAAAACGAAATCTATAGCAAAGAAAGTCGTTATAAATATTATTTTTGGCTTTTACTTAACCACAAAGAATCCTTTTGTTGGAACTGCTTCAATATCTTAAGTATTCCACAGTGGTCCATTGTTTTAAAAAATTTAGAATTCGCTGACAAGTTTGAGACAGTGCAACACCTTCGCCAGCGCTGACGTAAGTTCGCACGCCCACTTTTTGGTTGCTTTTACATCCGTGTCGCACGGGACATATGTAAAGTTAACTGTGTTTTCTCGGGCTAATACATGTTCTCATGTATTTAGACTTTGTGTTGATCGTCCACAAAAAACCCATTAGATCTCTCTATAAAAGCCGTTGTTCATATGACAGCTTCAGTAATGCTTTGCTTGGGGAAGAAAGCTTTAGTTATTGTGTTTAAAGCTGTCTTATTTATTTATTGGAATCATCAAAAAAGAACGCTGGTCCTGTGCTTTATATCCTCTTAATTGCTGATAGCCATGTCTGACGCCCTCCGGCTTTTAGCGATTATTTCTCGTGCTTTATTCAGAAGTCTAAAATTCTTTTTTTTTATTAGTTTGATGTAAAGGCTGACTTTCGGAGTCTGTTTTGCAATACTTATCACGCCTGCTATACCAACTAAGCAAATTCGTTGTACCTGTTCCAAAAGTTTCACGCGATATTTCTTTTGTAGTTTCGCCCACGATAGTAGTAGCTCATTTATTATTAGGGGTCTTACGAGGCTGTAAAATGCTTCTGCGGGTATTAAAAATCCACAACTCTTTAGAGGCTCTGCTTTTACCAAGTTCCCTTCAGCGTAGGCGTAGGTAGGTATTTGTTCTAAGAATTCCACCCAGATATTTGACCTAGTTGGAGGGTGTCTATATATGGGCTAGATGGGAATTCTAGTCTCTCTCGTTAAAAAAAAAACCCCAAATTTCGGTGAATTTATAGAGAGGCGTTCACAGCCCGATCTGCTCAGATTTAAATTGCTCTCTCTCTCTCTCTATTACTCGTAACCAACGATGGGGTTGAGAATATAAATGATGATGTTAGGAAATAGTCAATAAAATTATTTTAAGAAAATAAGCTTTATATTTTGTTTGACATCCTCAAAAAGAGTTTAGTTTTGGTCAGGTAACTAGGAAAGCTCTTAAGAAATTTTCCCACACCTTTGTGGTTGGATATTTAACTATAATATATCAACTCTCAATCTTTCTCCGCAGAAAAATGCCGTAACCTATTTTCAACGCATCTGCCCTGGCGTTAAATTGGAACGCGTCTTTATGGATTGGTGCTGGTGGATATTAGCTGGTCTACCATTTCAGCATCTTGTACGCATTATGGATTGTTACTTCCATGAGGGCATTAAGGTGTTGTATCGTGTTGCGCTCGTGATAATCAATCTCTTCCACAAAGAGTGTCAATCCAACAACGAATGGAGTCCAGATAATATTAAAAATGATATTGGTAATGCGTTGATTAAATTCTGTAAGAAGATACCAGTGTCACCAACGAAATTATTGCATGCCGCATTTAGTATTAGGGGATTGAGGTGAGTGTTTTTTTATTGCAAATTTTGTATGAATAAACTAATTTACTTGTTTGCTTTCTTTGTCCACACAGTTCCACATATATTTCTAGAATATTTATGAAGACTGAAATGATACTAAAGAGTCGTTCTGTTTTGAATAACGGTTCGAAGCAATTAGTTAAGTCGCGATCCAGTGATAATTTGCCATCGAGTCAATCACAAGTCAATATACAAATGATGTCGCATACATTGACCATACGTGAGGTGAGCGTCGCGTCTACATATATCTATGAACATAAATATATAAGTAATGGCTAAGTGCCTGCCAAGTGAAGGCAATTAAAAATATTTATATTTAAAACTAAAATAGATTGACTGAAGCTCTTCTATTAGGAAAATTAATATCATTAGGAGTGAATTTTTCTAAAAAAAATCCGTCGTGTGAAATCCGTTACAACAACTAAAACATAAATACATTTAACATATTTATATTTTTTTATCTAATTTACTTTCTCTTTTGTATTCTTTAAAGCAAGCTAACTTTGAAATAATACATATATATATTTACTAATTTGAATAATTCTTCTTGTCGCTGAAAATTTGCACAAAAAAACTTTGACCCTTTCTTCATTTCCTTTTGCCATTTACAATTTTATTAATTTTATTTTTTATTATTATAAATCAATACTATATCGATTGTGCTTTGGATACACTTTAGCTGCAATTTATTTCATTGCCATTATTATCAGAAATATTTGGAACACACAGAAAATAAAATAAACAAATTTCGTTCACTTTACTTTTACAATTGAGCATAATTTAATTTTAAGCTACAGTATTTATTTATATATGCTAAAGCTTAATGTATCATAAATATGCAAAAGATATGTACGTATGTGTGTGTGTGTATAAAGGAGGAATCAATGCAAAGTGAAGAAAATGTGTTTTTACTCTGCTATTAAAATTTAATTTAACACAAAATTATATTGCGGTTCAGCGAATCCTTAAACTCCGTGAAGGATTCAATTGTAATTTTCTTTTAAAATAAAAAAAATTAATTAGATAAAGCATAAAACTGAAATTAAGAAATAGATAAAAAGACGAAAATAATATGAATAAAGAAATACAACAAAAAAAAAAAGAGAAATTAATAAAAATTAAAAATTAAAATAATATTAAATTAAATATATTAGAACAATATACAATTAAACTAGATTAAATTAATAAAAACAAAAATTAGATAAAAGCAATTACAATTAAATATTTAAAATAATACAAAATAAATTAAAATAAAAAGGCTAAATTAAATATATTTAAATAAAAAGAAAAAAGTATAAAAATAATAAATAGAAGAAAGATAAGATAAGAATAGAATACAATCAAATTAGATTAAATAAATAAAAATATAAAAGGTACAAGCAATTATAATTAAATATTTAAAATAATACAAAATAAATTAAAAAAAGTTAAATTAAAATAAAAATAAAAAAAGTATAAAAATATAAAATAAAAGCAAACGGAATATAATAAAAAAATACGAAGTACGATAATTAAAATTAAATTAAATTAAATTAAATTTTAAAAACTAAAATCGTATAAAGTAAATAAACATAAAACAAAAAAAAAAAATTAATTGAAATAAATAAGATAAAGGAATTAAAAATAAAATAAAATAGAAATGCATTAAACCGAAATATAAAAAAATGGATAGAAAATAAAATAAAAAAAAATAAAATAAAATAAAATAAAACTAAATAAACTAATATAATAAATAATTGAGTAAAATATAAAGAAATGAAACGAAGATTAAAAAAAAATAACAAAAATATTTATAAAAGAGAGGGAATCTCATTATAACTCTCTCATAGAAACCCTTTTCTCTATATGGCAAAAAACTGGGAGAATCAATGCCAACTCTTTACCAGCCAAACCATTCGTTACAGTCATACACAGATAATAACCAGTGGATGCATAAAAACCTCCCAGTCAAACTCTCGGAATTTCTAGCGAGTAACTATCAATATGTGTGGTCTGGCTTTGTCCTGATGAAATACAATTCACCTCCTGTTGACCAAAGCAGGGCGATTGCTTCTTTTCAGGCGAAGGAATTAAAAATTTGGAATTGGGGGGTCACCTCGATGTGGACTATTCCATGTCAATTCCACCAACCACACAACAAAACCTTCCTGGTCGTTAATTCTGCTTTGTAGGTCGTTTGCTCCGGCTCACTGCCATTCGACCATGACCGTTTGAGATTGTTGTAGGTGATGTCGCGTGATCTCGAGCTCGCATGATGGTCAGAGGCGATGATTTCCAATTGGCCTTTCAAGCCGTGGATTCGCTTATACAACAAAATTACGTGTATTTTCTCTTTGCTGGTGTCCATCTTTGGCATGCACTCAAAAACTACTGAGTTTTGTGATCAACACTTCTCCCACCATATTTGCTTTATTACAAAATATCATGTTGCTAACGCCATCCAGTGTAATCTCATCCAATCACATTTAAAGAACGCGAGATTTAGATCACTAAAGCCGTCTAATGCAAAAACAATCGATGACGTGTTACTTGCTCTAATATCAAAAATAAAAAAGATAAGAAAAATAAGAAAAATAAAAATAAGATAAGATGAAATAAAAAAATAATAGAAATAAAATAACTAAATGAAGGTAAAAGACAAAACTAAAAAAAATTGAAAAAAGATAAATGAATAATAAAATAAAAATAAAAAATATAAAAATAAAAATTAAAAAAAAAATAAATTAATAAGAATAAGATTAAATACAAATATGGAAATAAAATTAAAATATAAAATTGAAATAAAGTAAAAATATCTATAAAAATGAAAAATAAAACAAAATAAAATTAACTAAAATAAAAAATAGCAAAATAATAATAAAAAATAGAAAACCACTTTCATATACAAAAAATAAACACATTAATGAAAAATAAAAAAGAATAAAATAATTAAAATAAAATAAATTAAAAACAAAATATAGTAAAAAACGAGATAAAAAATAGAAAAATAAAGAAATTTAATAAAAAAGCATTCAAAAATGTATATATAAAAATATAAAATAAACTAAATAATACAAAATACAATAAATATACATATATATATTATATTATGTTATAAATATAATTAAAAAAATTTATTGAAAAAAAGTAAAATTGAAAAATAAAATAATTAAAAACAGTAATAAAAATTAAATTCCATAAAAAACTAACATTAAAATGAAAATAACTAAAAAATAAAAATAAAATGGAATATCAGATAAAAATTGTTATAAAAAAATAAATGTATAAATAAATAAAAATATAAAATAAAATAAATAATACGTAATACAACAAATATATATATAAATATATATATAATAATATAAATAGAATCGTTATTAAAAAAAAAATGAAAATAAAAAATAAAAGATAAAAATAATTAAAAACTATAATAAAAATTAAATTAAATATGAAAAACTAAAATTAAAATGAAAATAACTAAAAAATAAAAATAAAAAGAGAAAATAAAAATGAAATAGTAAATAAAAATTGTTATAAAAAAATATATATATAAATGAATAAAAATATAAAAAAAAAAAATAATATAAAATTCAATAGATATATATATGTATATATAAATAATATAAATAAAAAATTAAATCAAAATAAAAAAAAACAAAAAATAAAAAAGGTAAATATAATAGTAATAAATTAAATGAAAAAACTAATATTAAAAAAAAAATAAAAAAAAAAATTAAAGTAAAATAGTAAATGCAAATGATTATAAAAATTAATAATAAAAATAATAAAAATAAATAAATTAATAATAATTATAAATACAATTAAAATAATAAATTAAATTAAAACAAAAATTATATAAAAAGCAAATAAAATAATGTGAAATTTTTAACTGAAATTTTTATAAATGAAATTATCTGGCTTAATATGCAATACAACATTTATTATTAGATTAATTAATTTTATTAATAAACAAAAAATTATAGATTTTTAAATAAATTTATTATATTATACATCTGAAAGAATTTGTAGTTTTTTAACGAAAAATATACAGCTTTATTAATATGATTTCATTCCTTTTGTATGCACACACATCAATACATATGTCATTCTTCTGCTTAGTTCTAGTTTTATTAAATATAGCTAAGTCGTGAAAAATATACCATATTTATGTATTGAAAAAAAAATAATAATACACAATATAGTAGACACAAACAACAGCAGCCACAAGAAGTAATCGTATTTAATTTGATTTATATATCTTGTTGTTTTTGTTTCGTTTACTTTTTTTCTCATACATGTAACTCTCGTAACATGAACTGCCGAAATGTGCATTGAAACATTTTAGCGATTGTACACCGAGACCTGTCGCAATTTGGTATGGGACACTCAAAATATACATATATGATTATCTATCAATACATGCATAATAATATGCAAAATAACAAAAAAAAGGAATTATAAAATGCAAATGCAATGCTAGTTCTACTACTTGTGCGCTAATTTTGAATTTAAATTGCAATTTGAGTTTGCGTATGCGTTTACGTTTGAGTTTGAGTTTCAGTTTCTGTTTCGGTTTTGTTTCGGTTTTTAATTTATATTTCGTTTGTCTTGATTGATTGAGATGATTCGTTTTTTTTTTTGGTTTTTGTTTTTTTTTTTTAATTTGCTGTATAGTTTTTCCTTTTGTTGCATACTTGTATATACATATATGTATGTATATGCGTGTGCGTATATATGTATTAAGCTTTTAAAGGCGTTACTTCTTTTGTTTCCTTCAATTTACATAACTGTATGTTTCATGAAATATAACAAATTTCGTTTGTTTTATAAAATCATTGTAAATGTTGCTTATCCAATTTGGTTTGGCCTTCTTTACTCTATAATTTTTTTTTTTTTTTTTTTTTTGCTACCCACTGTATATACGACTCTACTGTATGACTATTTGCCCGCAACTTGTATTACAATCGCTTCTTGCTTACATTTACTCGTACACCTCTTTCTCCGCTCTATTTTTCCTTATTTCATTTGGCTGACAAATGTCTGAATTTAATCGAGAATTGATTTTTAGTTTTCAATATTTTTTTTTTCTGTTGATTGTTTCGAGTTTGTTTCAATGCCTTTCGTTTACCACAATCGTTTAAAAAAAAAAATTCTACATACGTATGTATGTATATGTTATTTGGCAACAAGGAAAGGACAAAAGTTTTGTTGTGTTTATACTAAAAATATTTTGTACAAAGTTGATTGGCTGAAATTTGTTGTGGAACAGAATTTAACTAACATGCATACATATATATAATATGGAAAAAAATTATAATAATTCTTAACTTCATTGTGCCAGTGTGAAAACCTTTAATCATACATTTTTTTCTCTCTTTGAAATGCTGCCATAAAAATGTGATTTGTTTTTTTTTTTACTTAACTCTCTTTTTCTCTCTCTAAACCGCTCAATGTACTATAACCGCCATATGGTTTTGTATTGAATAAAATGAATTTACGCTTGATATTAATTTATGAATTAATTTAATAATAATTTTTTTTGCGCAATTTGAACCAAAATATTTATTTCCCTCCACCCAATTTGTATTTACTCTCCTAAAATTTTCATTTTGCGTACTTCTATTTTTCACTTCCCTCTCATTCCTGCTCTTCCCCAACCATTTTGAATCGAAATAACAAAAAATAATATAACTTTCTGTGCGCGCCTCGCTCTTTAGGGCGAAAAGTCGCCTGGCCATAGAGCCGTCGCTATGGGTGTTTATCCCATACACAATCTCAAGAGTCTAGTTTGTTCCAGCGAAGATGTAAGTGTGATTTGATTTGTTAACCAAATAATATTGCAATAAATAAAAAAATCAAAAATAAATAAAATGTCATATAAAGTTGTTTGAAGATTTTTAGCGTAAATGTATTTTTTTTCACTCTTTCTTACACTCTTAATGGCGTAACTAAGTGTTATGTTGTAATTGAAGCACTATTTTGCTATAATTTTGTTTTATTACTCAATATTTAAATATTTAATTACACAATGCATACGTTTTGATGTTTTATAGCTGATCTCACTGTTTGAATAAAGACACTGTTTGCATTTAATCATGAAAACAAAATTTAATCTCATATTTAAAAATTTTTATTTGAATTTTAAGTATTAACGAATTTAACGATTTTTAAAAATTGGTTTTTTTTTTTATTTTGTGGCATCACAGTTATATGAGTCGCAATATTACTGCTTCTTGCAGCCGATAACATTTACTCTACTCAACATTTGTTGTTACATCCAAATTTCACAATACGCTGAGAGGAAATAATGTACAGTGACTCATAAAAGTGTTTTGCAATTGATATTGAATATAGATTTTAGATTCATTCTTTTACTTAAAAGAAAACATAAGATAAAAACATAAGAGTAAGCTCCAGCTAAGAGAAGAGATTAAGCGCCAACGAAGGTATAAATAGTACAAATATCTGCACAATGAGAATGGCATGACTTCCTTCTTTCCAGCGGACTTGCCACTGTATAAGAGTTTCTTTCCTTATGTCCACTCTGTTTGTATTGACAGTGGTTCTTCATTTTAAGCATACAGTATCTTTCCTTTTCGGCTGTCAATTGGTCGATCAGAACGCTTCCGCTTATTACAGTTATAGGCAAAGCCGTCGTGCGGTATTCTTTTGCCAGTACCAAGTGCATATTATTCTTCTTAAGTGAGTCCGCTCATAGCTCGGTTCCATACAGTAAGATGTTAAGGGTTGTCGTCATGATAAGCTTCCTTTTTTCTTGAGTTGGACCTACTATGTTAGCCATTAATCTACTAAACTGAGAAGAGACCTTAGAGGCTTTGACTGTGGCATGCTGGATATCCGCCCAGTAGCTCAATCTAGAATCTAGTCTTACAGATAGTTAACAACTTTTCTCGACCTCAGTGTATTTGCGATTGTATGCATGTCTATTTCCCGAGGTGTTTACTTCGTCGTTTATAGCAACAACTCGGTTTTTTCGGCTACGAGACCGGTTTAACTTGGTTTAACTTCCTGCGTGCGTCTTTCTTATCGCGTGCGGTGATTATAGCGGCAATGTCGTCAGCATATCCCACGATATATGTGGTATCAGTGTGCCCTCAATGGTTTCAAGGATTCCTTCTTTCAGGTCTTGAAACAACGTTAGTCTATTGGCGTAGACCTTATCTTTCACGCACCAAAGAAAGAAGTCGTAAGGTGTTATATCACAAGATCTCGGTGGCCAATTGTGATCATTTCTTCGTCAGATAATACGCTTCGCAAATTTTCCCTTAAAAGGTCGATGGTTTCGTTGCTTGTGTGGCACGTAGTGCCGTCTTGTTGAAAGTAAACGTTGTCTAGATCGATACCATCCAGTTCTGGCCATAAAAAATTATTAATCATCTCTTGATCCAATCAACTGTTAACTGTTGTTCCAACCTCATTGTCGAAAAGGTAGTGTCCAATGACCCCGCCATACCTTAAACCGTACCAAACAGTTTCACTTTGAGGTTGGAGAGGCTCTTCAACTATTAAATCTTGGATTTACCGAGTTCACTCTGATTGATGCGTTCTGAATGCTTCCAACCACTTATTCAGGTGTCGGTAAACGTTGACCTCTCAGTTCGTTTTTAACGTACGGAAATGAAAAGAATTCACTTGGATCGAAGTAAGGACTATACGACTCATCAAATCGATGTTTCGAGTGGTCAAAAATGCAGTCGTTATATGTATGAGAGCTCGTTGACATTGTTGTGGTGAAAAGTGATCCGTCTTTGTCGGTTGATTTTCTTGATTTCTCAAAAGACAACTGACAAACAAATTATTGTTTGCAAATTAAGAATTTACTGTTCTGCGTTGGTCTAGTAGTATGGTTTCCGCATGCGCAGTTTTTCCAAAAAAATAACAAACACTTGTCTGGAAATGCTTCTTGCGCGATCAACTTTTTTTTGGACCCATCGGCTCATCTTCTCTTTCCCTACCCATACTGTCCACTGCTGTTTTCTTTCAAGCTCATACGCGTAAATCCGCTATTTATCACGATGTTATAAACGTGTTTCGAAGCACTGCAATCGTGTGGTTTTTTACATTTCTCTCGATCAATCGACACGAGAGTTTTTTTGAGCGATTGGCAAATTGGGTCCATAAAAAGGGGACCCCACAGTCTGCGCCAGTTATCGTGGAATAAGTCTCCTTAATATGGCATGTAAGGTCCTATCAAGCGTATTGTCTTAGAGACTTCGAGAAGACATGAGAGAAACGTAGCAATACACACCACCTCCTCGTCGATTTTAAAGCCGCCTTCGACACCACGAATTTGGTATCCCCGCAAAACTTAAACGAATGTGTTAACCAACGCTAGACAACAACACCAGAAGTGCAGTAAGAAATCGAAAGGATCTCACCGAGCCGTTCGATACCAAACGATGTTTCAGTGAGGCTGACTCTTTATCGTGTGATTTCTTCTATTTGACTGGAGAGAATATTAAGATCTTTTATAATTTTAATAATTTTCTTGTTTAAGGCGTCTACGGGAGGACCGATTTCTTTTAAACGATGAAATCTAGAACAGAAAAGTAAAAAGTTTTATGATCTACAATCTGTGGTCTTTGGAAGTGCATTAGGATTTATTTTTTTTAAAAAGATTGATTTTTGAATAAAATAATAAAAAAAGAATAAATTATTAAAAAAGAAAAGTATATTGTACATTTAATCGAAAGTATTGTAGTTAAGTATTTCCAAAAAAAAAAAAATGTGTTTGTGAAGCTATCATTAAAATTTCAAATAAATTGATGCGAAAGGGTCCGAATAATCTGTCCTCCCAGTTTGAAAAATGTGATTTTGAGAAAAACGCGCTTAAGGTTTTCATAGTACTCAGCGCCCGCTCTGAGAGGCACAGCTAAAAAAAAAAGTTCAGCTATTTGAAATATTTTCTCTCACTTTAAAACCAATTGCATATCATTTCTTTGGCCCTGTGCAAGGACGGTGAAGAGAACCATTGTCTGCGAGTGGTCCAAAATACTTGCAAGTTACATTCGGGCAGCTTGCGATTCGTTTTTGGACCGTCTCAAGGCAAAAAGTGGTCATATCGATCAAAAGTAAATTGTTTTACAATTTTCTTATTATTTCACACATTTTGTACTTTGTATTGATTAAAGAAATTTTCCAAACTGAATTTATTATGGCCTTTATAATTGGTTACACTTCGTGTGGCAGTCACTGTAGATTATCAAATATCAATAGAAAAAATCAAAATTCTTCTGTGAGTCACTGCCTACACCATTACACTACAAACCATGCTTTTGAAAGTGCGTGTCTTCTTTTCATCTGACATATAACTTAATTTTCAACTGTTTTTCTTTAGAACCATAGTTTCATTGGAGTTCATTTAATGGGCAAGCGTTGGCATCGTATAGAGGTTGTCGAAGGCATTTAAAATACATAAGTTTTTCATTTTATTTCCTTTTTCATATTATAACTTGAAAGTAATTTTGCTTGTTGGTGTAGCAGAAAATTACCGTTGGAAAAATTAAAAACAAGTATTGCTGTAAAAATGTTTCTGAAAATAGTTTTTAATACAGAAATTTGTCAAAACATTGACATGAACTGTACAAAAATATTAAATACTAAAATATTTATTAATTAAAAATTAAAATTTTTTTGTAAATGTAATATCAAAAAAAAAACATAAATTAATAAATTCGACTCAGTAAAAGCTCTCTGTTCGAAAGATAAATAAAAAAAGTTAAATTCCTTCAAAACCAAATTACCAATTATTTTCAAACCCCTCAGGCTGTCAATTTTCGAAAGCTCTATGGTTTTCTGATCTATTCAAAAAGCTGACTAAAATGCACGATTTCACAGGACTAGTAAAAGCTTTCAAAGTGAAAGCTCTACATTTTGCAGCCACTTTTGTCCTTAGTGCAGTTTATTATGACTTATTAAATGTTCAAGGCCGCCGAATCCGAGGAAACCAGTTTCTATCTTTTTTTTTTGGTCATTAAATTATTACTTGACCATTTGCATGATACATTTTCTTGCACATAAATATTTTTCAACTACTGGTGCTTCCAAAAACACATACTAAATACATATTTACAAAGCTATTCAAGCAAATGAAACCAAAATCACACGAACATCAATAAATTAAGATAATAAATAGAACCATAAATTATTGTAAATTAATGCAAAATTTAAACAAGCCAAAAGAAACAAGCGCATACACACTCAACCGACTCACGTTCACACAATATGTCTGTACGTTCCACAATTAAGCTGAATTAAAACGTTTACAATTCAAGTACCTACCTACACGTTATACCGTAATTTGTAGTCCATCTCCTTTTTTTGGCTTGGATTTTCTCTTAATATTTGCTTTTTATTAGTATAGTTAAATACAGGGTGTTTTATGGCGGGCTTAAGTTTTGAAATCGGTAATACTACTTTCAGTTTTTTTTTAATTTATTTAAGTTAAAGCTGAGCTTTCTCCGAAGAAACTGAAAAATAACGTCATAAAAATATCGAATTTGTTGAAAGTAACCTTAAATGCTCGGCCTTCTCACGAGACATACTATTAATAATATATTTGACCCAGCTGCAGCTTTATTTTCCTCGCAACGTCGACCAAATTTCAATTAAATCGCACCTTAAATAATTTTATTTTCTAATAGTCCGTGGTCCATTTGCCGAAGAGCGAATTAGTCTTTCTTTGTTGTCATTCTACGCTACCTTAGGTCTAGCATAAATACAACCAATAAAGGAACCTACAGTTTATACTAAGCCGCCTCGTAATCCGGAAACAGTACGCAATGATTACTACGCTCGACTACCGCAGCCGCAACTGTCCGATTATAATCGTGCAAATTTTCTGCTTGTTGTGTATTAACGCAAAGATCAATCTCTATTTTGACTAAGCTGTGTATCCAAAACATACCAGGTTTGGTCGAACTCTCGTCGAGCCCTAGTCGATATTTGTTTCCTGGTCTCTGACCCATTTCGGTCCGCTTCCTTCAAACGGCTTTCAATTTATTCTAGGTAAGTATATGGTCCACTTACCAGAAACCATCTCAGCGTCCATAGAAACAAATTAAAAAATTTTCAATGTGATCTAAGTGCACATATCGTAGATTTTCTGGGGTCCTAGAAAACGAACATCGCCTCATTACAAGAACCGCTGTACAGGACAGCTTCCAATGTACGGTATTCTCAAATTCAAACCACCATCCATAGGTTCTTCCTGCTTTTGAAATCCAAGCACTGTCCATAGCAGGACATACGTGTAAGTAATAGAAGCATGATTATGTATGTGCTGTATGCAACGAGTCTCCAGACGACACTAACCATCTCTTTTCATGCCCCCAAAAGCCAACTCATCTAACCCTCTTTCTCTCTGGTCCGATTCTCTCGAAACAGCTCGTTTCCTGGACCTTCCGTTAGATGACATCGATAACCTAAACTGATGTTGTCTGCCCCTAGGCGGGGTTAAACTTACCTCTTCAACATCTACAACTTCATCTCATCTTAATTCAACATCTTTGGACTAATTCTAGAGTAAATATTGATAGCTCAAATCTTAATGTGAATTATTTCGAAAATAAAAGAATTTCAAACAGTTTGAACTGTAAATTATATTTTTAAGAATCATATCTGCTTACTAATCTGAACGGTTAGCTGTCAATCTATTAAATTTCCAGGGAATCGAAACATAAAAACAATTTTCTCGTATAAATCGGTCTCTAGTTTTAATTCGTGGATTAAATTTAAGTTTTTCTTTGTAAAAACCTTCTCTTAAATACGAATAATTGGCTGCTCTCAGTACAGGAAAAATTATAAATTTTTTTATACTTGCAGATAGGTATGTAGATAAGGGTTTCTCATTGAGCGAGACTTGCCCCCTTCTAATATTTATTTTTTTCTTCTTATTTTTACGCCCGGCTTCCTATAAACTTTCGACTTAAGTCATCATATATATTGTAGATTGGCCTTATCTATGGGGTTATGGAATGGACTAAGCAAAAAATATGGTTTGTGGTCTATATTAATTCGCTGTATAAATACGAACAAGTCAGTCCCTGGTCTACTTCACGGAGAGAAAAAGAGAAAAATAGAGTTCTTGCTAATATAATCAGGAACCTACAGAAATTAGCTTTATATCATATTTCAAGTAAATCTAACGATAAATATAATTTTTTCGTATAGATCAGTGCCTGATCCCGGACTTCCCGGTGTGAAAAATATTTGATGGCCGATTCTAATACCTACCCAAAAAATGCACACACAATTTCATAAAAATCGGTGCTGCCATTTCTGAGAAGCTTACTTAAAAATACTGTGGCGCGAGAATTTTATCAAAAAATGAGGTTATGTTCAAAATTTTTAATTGTTAAACATATTATGACTATGAAATAATTCTTTATGAATTTATTATTCAATTTACTATAAAATTTTGAACTTTTAAAACGATAAGCCGTATAAAAAAAATTAAAAAAAAAAACCCTTTCTGTAATACAAAAGTCGATTTTTGACTTTGGATATGGTTTTTGGGAGCACACTTTATGTATATCAGGAACAGTTCTCACTTTTCTTCTTCTTTTCGATTGAGAAATGTGTCTAAACGTCTAATGTGTCTATTATCGGGTTTCAGTTTTTTTTATATTTTTTCTTTTATTTTTATTTTTTATTTTTTTTTTTAATTTTATTATTATTATTTTTTTTTTAAATAATGTGTACATTTGTACAAAGAATTTGTTGTGTAGACGAAATAGCGATAAGCCACATTTTTTTAATCCAATTAATTACATTAAAATCTAATTTATGTAAAATATAATATGACCATGCCGCCGAAAAGAACACCCTGTTTAATGAGTTTTTATGCACTAGGAGTTATTACTTTTGCATGGCGTTGTTTTGCTTTGAATTGTTAAATATTTTTCATTTACTTAATTATTATTTCGTTATCGTCAAAAAATAGAAATTAATTTCCTTTTATTTAAATTATCTGTGCATAGCTTAGTGTTGAAATGAACTAAAATTTATATACGAGTATATACATATATATCTATTTTGTATATGCGTTGCATTACGTTACTTGTATGTATGTATGTATGTATGTATTTACTGCTTATGTTTAATTGTAATATATTTAATTGCGCTAAATTCATTAATTTTGTTACTTAAGAACTTCCATTTGCCCAAAACCACTGACATGCAGTCGACTAAATAACCATCTAAATCCCAACAGCTCTTTACACTCTGGTCGTGGCTGCCCGTCAGAATAACAATGTATCAACCGGTACTGCTCTACACCACTGAGGAACATGGCTGCTCGCTGACCACCTTCTACGTACGCGTTGAACAGCATGAGCCAACGTTAATGATGATCAAAACGTGCAATAATGAGGTAAGTCGAAATTTGTTAAATTTGTAAATGTTGTAATTTGAAAATAACCCACTTCCCTTTTGTATCGTTTTGTAGGTCTTCGGCGCTTACTGCTCAACGCGTTGGTTTGAACGCAATGTCAAAGATGACAAGGGCCAACGGCAGGCCTACTTTGGCACCGGTGAGACCTTCCTTTTCTCCCTCTATCCGGAACGCGCCAAATACCCTTGGGTTGGTATTGAGAATGAAAAGGATTTGGGTCATGCGTCGGAGTTGTTTATGGCAGCCGATTCGAAGATGATAACGATTGGTGGCGGGTAATTATATATATATATATATTTTTTTTTTAATTTATGCTTATCACGCTAAAGTACAGGGTTTTCCAATAAGAGGTGTAATTTTGATATTCAAAGAAAAATGGCATTTTTTGAGATAAATAATCGAAGGTTTATTTCTATGTAAAGAGAAGAATATACCATTAATAAGGGGAAACAATATCTACACTTATATAACCGTATACCTTTATGAAATTTTCCTTCACCAAATCACAAAGTGGCAGCTGTGTGTCCTCAATAGCTTTACGAATACCATCTTTGAAGTCAAAAATCGACAGGGGCCTGTTGGCCTAGACCTTATCTTTCACGTGGCCTCAAAGGAAGAAGTCGCAGGGTGTTAAATCACAAGATCGAGGTGGCCAATTGTGATTACCTCTTCAAGCGGTAATACGATCCGGATACTTTTCCCTTAAAAGATTGAAGGTTTCGTTGCTTGTGTGGCACGTAGCGTCGTGTTGTTGAATATAAAGGTTTTCCAGTTCGATACTATGTAATTCCGGCCATAAAAAATCATTCATCATCTCTCGATAGTGCAATCTATTCACCGCAACTAACTAAAGTCCAATAAATGTTACCTGTTGACCTGTTACCTGTTGTCCCAAAGGGTGACAGCCCTTGGCTGGATCAAATCCGGGTCAACTCTCTTGACAGAAATATAGGCTTGAACTAGATGTGAAAGTCGATGACGTAAAAATTCCGACTGTAAACAACCAAAAAGATATTGGGATTGACACTAGACAGCCTGTACTCCTTCACTGCGCATACGACCGCGACTGCGGCAAAACTCCAGAGCCGCAACAAAATACCCAAAGCGCTAGCCGACAGCACCTGGGGTAAAGACAAGGAAACTTTGCTTGCAACTTACAAAGCAATTGGCTGGCCGGTCGTAAACTATGCTGCACTGATCTGGGCGCCGGAGACGAGCGAGACGCAGATGAAAAAGTTACACACTTGCCAGAACCCCGCTCTCTTTGCTTTGCTGTGCAAGCAGTTCCTTTTGGGATGCTACCGCAGGGAACACCCCAATAGGCACTTAATAGAAGCCCAACCTTCACCTAGGCCCATCAGAAAGGGAGTACTAGACCTCAAGGACACAATCCAGCAGCACGTGCAACAACCGCTGGACAGGACGGCATACAGACAAGCACTAAACGCCATTTACCAGGAGTCAGTTAACACCTTCAAAGACTCCCTTCCAGTAAATGACGTGCTCAGAGAAAAATCACCACCCATAGCAGACAACGAGCTCGAGCTGCCTCGAGAGACCCGCGTGACCTTGGCACAACTCAGGTCTGCATATTAAACTCCTACTTATCCAGTCTAGACCCCAGCATACCCAACGTATGCCCTGCATGTGGAGATTCTCCGCACGACACTAACCACCTCTTCACACGCCTCCTTAAACCGACTCATCTAACCTCCTTCTCCTTTGGTCCAATCCCGTCGAAACAGCTCGTTTCCTGGACCTCCCACTAGATGACCTCGGCGACTTAGATTGATCAAACCTGTACCCAAGCGGAGTTAGCCAACAGCTACAAAAACATCAACAGCAAATTCCAATAAACCCGCCGTACCATAAGCCACACTAAACAGTTGCGCGTTAAGAATTGAGTTTCTTTTTAACAATAAATCTTGAGTTTTCCGAGCTCCAGATGCGACAGTTTTGCTCATTGACCTAGCCATCGAAGTGGAAATGGGCGCCATCAGGCAACATGATTTTTCGTTGAAATTCCAGATTATTTTCATGCATTTCAAGGACCCGGTCAGCAAAGACACTACGTTGTTGATGAGCGGACGGCTTGTGTTATTGTTTTAACTGAATTTGATAAGCTTTAAGGCTTTCTTTATGCAAAATACGATGCGATGATGTGTGTGGAATGTCCCATTCCAAAGAACGGCGTGGGCAAACCTGTACTTTCTTTAACACTTTGAGCTATATATATATATATATACAAAATTTGCGCTTTTTAACCACTGTAGCGATTTTCGGACGAGCTCCTCCTCCACTTTGTGTGTCCAACGAATGGTGGGACCTACAATTTTTTATGAGCAGCTTTATTTCATGTCAGAAATACATTCGGAGGGGTTGGCATTCCTTGCCGAAGGGCGACCGCAATTCGAAAATTTAATTTAATTTTTTATTTAAATTTATTTTTTGTCACTTTTGGATGTTGGTCGTACAAGGAGTTGAAGCCGGACCATCCGAATGGCAGATCGCAATGCTAGCCACTCGGCTACCGCGGCAGCCAAAGGGCTATAAAAACAACATCTTCAGCGACGTGAACGTCTGTGCCGCAACAGCTCCATTTTCCGATTAATTTCCGTCCTGCGAACCGACAAGGTGCATCACGACGAACGAAAAATGTTTTAGTTTTACAAACCGTCTCTGCCATGTTTTCACCATTTTTATAGTAAATTTTAATAATTTCAATGTGTCTATCGTGTCATTTTTATTTTTGACATGGTTTTTACTTCACAAATCTCAAAAAATTCGAGCTTCAAAAGTGTCATCTACCAGAAAGGAAGACTATTCAAAATTACACTTTTTGCCAGAAAACTCTATTTGAAATTTAAATGTTTTATATAATTTCCTTTTTCATTGTTTCATTTTCAGTGAGGGTCAGGCCATTTGGATGGATGAGAATATACGTTTTGGTAAAACGGATAGCTGTAAAACATTCAACAATCCGCCATTATGTCCTTCGGGTGATTTTGAAATACGTGTGCTTGAAGTGTATGGCTTTGATGGCGTTTAAGTGACTCTGTATGTACGCAAATACACACACACACACACACATACACACATGCAAATACATACTCCTACCAACCAAAAAAAAGAAGAAAAATTTTAATCGTACATACACACACACACACACCTTCCCGAAATGTATGTGCCACTAATTGTAAAGCATTTATTGCTCGCAATGGCTCAATCTAGGCGTTAAAACGATTACTATACATATGTTTTTGTTTGTTGTAATTCGTTTTCTTATTGAAGACAATGAGAAAGAGAGAGAGAGAGAGTGCTCTTTATGTTGACACTCCTGGATGCTTAGCAAAGAAAAACAAAAACGGAATGCTGCGCAACCAGGAATGTATGTAACTGGTTGCGGCCAAAACTGCAATTCAATGCAAACAAAATTACAATATATGTATGTATGTAGTAGGAACATGAAATTCATACAAGAATTGCCCGCCGAGAAAGTCTTCTTTACGATTGAACGACTGACGGAATGTATTGACGGACGGAAGGAAAGCTTTCCAATAGGTGAAGTGCAGTGAGTTATTTCAAGGCGCAGTATTTTACGTAATTATTATTATTATGTTACATATAACTATACATATATGCATAAAAAGAATAAATACAAATAAAAAATTAATTCTCCTGGCTGCAATGCCAACGCGCTATCTAATGAGTGTTAGAATTAAAGCAAACAAATTAAAAATTTAATATAATATATACATACATATAAATATATATATATATATATCTATGTAGTTATAAAAATTAATAATTTATACAAACTATATTGTTGTAAAATGTAGCAGCATTAAACGAAACTAAAAACAAATACTCTGTGAATGAAAAAATGGCAAAAATTGAAAATAAATAATTAAAAAAAAAAAAATACATAAAAAAATACATAAAAAATGGCATTGAAAAGAAAAATGAAATTGAAATAAAAAATCGCATTGCGTTGACAAATTAATTAATTAAACATGTTTCTGCATTAAAATATTATATTCGCTTGTGAGAAAAGTTAATTTGCAAGCTATAAAAAAAATATGGAGAAAAAGCAGAGAGAAAGCAACGCTAATAATAAAAAAGAAAAAATGAGAAAATATCGCAATGTTAGTACCCAAACATACAGACATGCATATGAGGTTGGTTTGTAAAACAAAAACAAAAAAAAATACAAAACAAACAAAATAAGCAGCAAATGTTGAATTGTTTTTTCTGAGTTTTGTTTGAACTATATACTTTTTGTTTGTTATGTTTGTTGAAAAAATATATGTATATAGTTTATCACGGCGCTCAATTTATTTTGTTATAAGACAGTCATATATATACATTTTGCTCATCCAGCTCCACATACGTATGAAGTGAAAATCTGTTGAATAGGTGAAACTACAAAATGATGGTTGTAAAGTGTTTTTTTTAGAGTTTATACGAGGTGCACATATTGTTTATTGCACAATGCACAATGATATTTACACTATTATTGTGTTTGTTAGTAAATGAGTGTGTACACAAATATGGCTTTTGCAGCTTTTTTTCATGCATTTAAGTGAAATTCGTTTGAGTTATTTGAAAGTTTTACCATTTTCTGCTATAGACTAAAAATTTTTATATGAAAATACGCTGAATAAAAATATAAATTAAAAATTGTGGTGTAATTTGTTGTTGTGTATGTTTAGTATTTTTCTTGTCAAAAAATGATTAAGAAAATATTACAAATGAAAGGGTAAATGAAAATGAGTTATTATTTAAATAAACATAATTTAATTTTATATTTAATACAAATTTCATACACCCTGCATAATTTTCGGTGGCCTACTCCTCCTACAACAAGTTGTTAAAATGAAAAGGCTCAGCTAGAATCATTACAAAAAAAAAAAAAAAACAGCATTATAAAAAGGAATTGCTAAATATATGTATGTATGTATGTATGTACAAAACGAGCGTACCTTCCATAAGCAAGCAGTAAAAAGCAAGCAATTCAATTAATACAAAAAAAAAAAATGAAAAATGAAGGTTGGACTGATTTCATTATAATTTATATATAAATATATTTTTTTTTTAATTACACGCATTAAATAAATGGTAAATTTTTTTTTCGTTTCACCTTTGTTACACACACCCACTCACACACACAACACACGTTAGCGTTATTGTTATTATAATGTATTATAATTACTACTGTTAGTTATTACCACAATTTTATGAACAATTTGCGTGAAATTGTTTGTGTAACTATTGAATTGTATTGTTGCTTGATTGGTATATCTAGGATCTGCATTATTCTCTTTTGAAGATTTTTTCCATTTCTTTTTTAATTTAATTTGTTTTTTTATTTTTTTTTTTTAATTTTTTTTTAATATTTTTTAATAGAATTTTTAATAAATTTTTTTTTTCATTAAGCCGTTAAACAATTTAATTTCTATAATATTGTTGTTGATGACTTGTTGTATGTACGATGTAATGAGACAAGATTGAAAATGCTAATTACTTTTGTGAATCTGCATTAAAATGAACTGCTCAATTTTTTCGAGCGCACTAACAAACAAACAAAAAAAAAAATAAATTAAAATAAAATAAAACAAAAAACGCTATAACATAATCAATTGTATATGCATAGAAAGAAATGCAAAAACAGATACATACAGATCTGATCTAATTTATAATACAAATTAGTTGCGCATTACTGTGCTACAAAAAGAAATGGAAGTTTAAATTTAAACATCAGTATATAATATATTATATACAAAAAATATGCATATTTCTGTATGTGTAGATTTTCATTAACTATGTAACGCATACTAACCGAACATAAAAAGAGAATGTTATTATATTGCATATTGAGCGATGAGTATGTATAATCAAACTGTTTTTTTTTTCTGTTAGTTTAATAAGTGTATAAGAGAAATACTTTTCAGCAATTAAAAAAATTAAATATATATATATATATATATATATATATATATATACACTATCACATATGTGTACATATACATGTATGTATACAGCTATGTATTTCTGTAGTAATTAAAGAAATAAATCATTATACAATTTGCAACGAAATTCTATGCAAACGCAAGTAGTTTAAATAAAAGTCAAACGAATTGTCGACAAAAGCGCTAAATTAGTGTAAATAAAAGTTATTAAACTTATATGTTTAAAATACAAAAAAGTGTTTGCGCTATATTATATAGAAAAAATACATGCTTGCATATAGAACACACATACGTACATATGTAGGTATGTCTATAAAAAATGGCCAAAATTGTTGTTTGTCAAACTGCAAATATTGCGCCACATGAAGCAAAAGTTGTATTTTATGCTGCTCATTAATTGTTATAATTTACAATTGGCGCGCTATGGCATATGTTGTTGTTATTTTTTTATTATTAATAAAATAACAATTTATATTTCATTTATTATTTTTTATTTATTTTATGTATATTTTTTTTAAATTTTTTTATTAATTTTTTTTAAAAGTTTTTTTTTTTTCATTAATTTTTTTTAAATTTTTTTTTTTTTTTTCTATAAACACCTCTGTCATAAATGCTTTGTAAATAATTGTGCATATTGTATAATTGATCTCATTTCATTATATTTAACGAAATAATTTAAAAAAAAAGAAAAATGTTTAAATTAAATTTAAGTGGAAGTTACACTAGTTCTTGTTGTTGTTTTTAAAGCGTATATACTTTTTTGTTTTGCTTTTGAATAGAGCAAACTGTGACTAAACAATTTGCATATAGTCTATATATATATGCTATATATGCTATATATGCTGTTTATTACTACTAGTAGCTAAATGTGGCGCAATTGGTCTCTTTTATAGATATTACATATATATGTATGTATGTGGGAAAAAAACTATGCAAACATGAATAAATAAAATTAAACAGTATATAATTGAATAAAAAAAAAAACTTAATTTTTTATTTTTTATCATTTCCATTATACAGATGTTCAAGATTTAAGTTTGTTTTTTTTTTTATGTATTTGGTTTGAAAACATTAATTATACTTATAGTTCATTGTTTAATTTGTAATATCAAATTATGTGTAAAATTTTAAATTATTTGACATTAGAATATTTGAGTATATTTCAAATTGCTTGGTATATTTAAATTTAAATTTAAATTAAATTATGAGTGAAATTTTAAAATAAATAGTTTAAATTCTAAAATGGTATTAAAATAAAAATTATTTGTCATTTTAAAAATGATCTAGTCATTTCTTAAACATATGTACATGCCAAGAACGTATTTTCGCTTATATTTTATTCAAATGAAAAAATCAGTACAGGCACATTTGCTGTTTCCCATTCGAGTGTGAGGGTACGTGCAAAGTCAAATTTATATTTTTGTAACGGAAACTCAATTAATCCAAATTAGTTCGTAAGATTTGAGAATTATATTGCAAAAATCTTCAGTTAATACAAAAGGGTTGCGAGTTTCTTTGAACGCTGCATTATTTCTAATTGCCATTTTCTTGTCAAAGTGTCCTTTGAGTCATTGCATGTCATTGAGGACTGCATTTTTTTGTTTTGTTTTGATTAACTATTCTTTGAAGAAGAGTTTCCAAGAATACTTAAAAAAGCCTTTTAAGTTGAGTAACAATATCTCTTCGATACTCAGTTGAGTTGATACTTCTTTGGTACTCAGTCGAGTTGTACACAGGGTTAAATGAGATTTTTTTTGTCTCCTACTACGTTTTCGTGATTTAATTTGTTGTAATGCAGTTGTCTGGGTGGAACTTTCGCTTTCCTCGAAATACATATATTTGAAACCACATTTTTTATCATTTAAAAAATAATCATTTGACGCCACCTATCCTGCAGCCGGTGACGCCATTTTCTCTGTTGGAAATTTAAGTGGGCGGCACTTTCTTATTTTTTTATTTTATTATTATTATAATTTTTTAAGCAATTAAAAACCCTCATAACGTCGTCCCATGAGATAATGATTTAAGATGATTAATTCCCGTAAACGTTTAAAAAAAAGTGCAAAAGATAAAAAATTATATATAAAAACCTGAACACTTGGTTAGATTTGCACAAAGCCTATAAAATATTATGCAGGCGCCAAAATGCGAATGACAATGCAACCCTTAAGGGGTTACAAAGGTCTTGAAACTTCAAAAAGTTCATTGATCATTTTTTGTTTAAAAGTACAAAGTGTCAGGAATATTCTCCCCAAGTTTCAAGACAATCGAAACTAAATTGTGGGAATTAGAGAGTTTTATAACGCGCTGGCTTTGTCATGGCTTGACCGATGGCGTAACTTTAAACGCGTTTTCTTAAAATCACTTTATCGAAATCGGTGGTCAAAATTTCTCAACGACTATTGCAGCGATCGAGTTCAAATTTTCCACACTTCTTTTAAGCATGTTTTTGTAGTCCCTGAATGAAAGATTTATTTTATCTTTGGTTTCAACTCATTTTACAAGCCAATATGTGGCCTAAATTCATGCAAAAAATTACTTTTTTGTAAAAAATTCTACAAAAAATTCAATATTTGATTTTTTTATTTTTCTTCGATCAGGCGCAAGGAAAGATCACCTATTGTAAGATAATATTTGTATATTTGATTTCAGACAAAAA